GCAGGCGAGGCTGCGGTGGCCGGGAGCGGCCACTGCACTCCAGTCTGGGCGACAGAGTAACACTCCAACTCAAAAAATAAAAATTAAAAAAAAAAATGTTTTTTTTAGCAGGATATTTTTTGTTTGGTTGATTTTTTTTGAGTCAGAGTCTCAGTCTATCGCCCAGGCTGGAGTGTTGGGTCTTGCTCATGGCCACTGCAGTCTCGACCTGCTGGGCTCAGGGGATTCTTCCACCTCAGCCTCCCAGTTAGCTGGAACTGCAGGCATGCGCCACCATGCCCAGCTAATTTTTTTATTTACTGTAGAGACGAGGTCTCACCAAGTTGCCCAGGCTGGTCTCCAACCCGTGGGCTCAAGCAATCATTTCGCCTCCGCCTCCCCAAGTGCTGGGATTACAGGTGTGAGCCACAGTGCCTGGCCTGTTTTAGCAGTTCTAAACAGAGTTTGAAATACCCCAATAGAAAAACCCTTTACATCCCTGCAGTTGGCCAGGGGCAGCGGCTGCCACCTGTAATCCATTCAAGACTAGCCTGAAGCTAGGCTCGATGGCTCAGCCTGTAATCCCGCGCTTTGGGAGGCCGAGGTGAGTGGATTGCCTGAGCCTGTGGTTCGAGACCGCCTGGGTAACTTGGCGAGACCTCATCTCTACAATAAATCAAAAACTAGCCGGGCGTGGTAGCATGCACCTGTAGTTCCGGCTACTCGGAAGGCTGAGGAGGAAGGATCGCCGGAGCCCAGCAGGTCGAGGCTGCGGTGGCCGGGAGCGGCCACTGCGCTCCAGTCGGGGCGACAGAGTGAGACTCCGACTCAAAAAAAAAAAAAAAGACTAGCCTGGGCAACATAGGGAAACGCATCTCTTAAAAAAACCAAACAAAACCAGAAAACCCTGCAGTTCCCTTTGGTGGAAAAGGATTGTTCATTTAGTCATTCATCAAATACCCAGTGAGCACACACTCTGTGTCATCCGCATTGCTGTATACTGGTGATGCAGAGGTGACCAAGTCATGGTGACCCTCTGGGGAGAAGGGCAGGAGGCGAAACCGTCAAGCGTGCCGTACCTTGCGTGGGTGCCGAGGCAGGAAGCAGCAGCGTCATGAGGCAGGGTGGGACTGCAAGGGAAGGACAGCTCTTCCATATGGTGGTCAAGAAAGCCCCTCTGAGGAGTCCCATTCAAGGGGGGCATTCATTGTTCTCATGTTACAGTATCAGGTCCCAGCAATTCAGACTTCACTTCCGTGTGTGCCAGGCCTGCTCAGGCCATTTGCTTGTGTTACATTCCACTCGGCAAAAAAGTGGAAACAATGGCCCGTTCATGTCTGGTCATGGAGTTTCTAGCAGGAAGGACGAAACTGTCAGCCGCACCATGATCAGATTAGAAACCATAGAATCCTGGTTCGTTCATATTTTTGTCGAAAGTAAAGTTGTTTTGTATCTGGTTGCCATTCTTCTCTTAGACATGGAGCATAACAACCCTGCCTACACGATTAGCGCTGCACTGTGCTATGCCACCCAGCTGGCCAGCATTCTGTCTCACATCCTGGATGTAAATCTTCCCAAAAAGCTGTGCAACAGGCAAGTCATCAAGCTGGGGCTGTTGTCTTTATCGTGAATTGCTCACATTTCTGTTGTGTTCTTATTTACGCTGATGAAACCAAATAAGAATTTAGGTATCATCAAGACAGGGAAGATCTGACTGAAATCTTGAGTTTAATGTCAAAAGCCTTCTGTGCTGCCATGTTTCATCATCTCACAACTGCACATGAAGTCTCTGAGGAAACCACAGGAAAGATAAGAGAAAAGGCTATCCAGAGGGGATGCCACAGGTCCTCGTGTGTCAGAACTGGGTAGACTGTAACCACTGCATTTTGTTGTTGTTGTTGACTTTTTAAAAATAAAAACCTCACGTGGCTTAAAATTTTTAAAAATGTAAAGGGGTGTAATCTACACAGTTCCCATGAAGACCTTCCCACCCTCTCCAGTTGACCTAGCATTCCAACAAATATAGCGTTACTGTCCCCAGCTTTTAGACATAGTGGTAGTATGCTAGACTATGATGTTTTGCACCTCCTTGCTTGAGTTTTTATTCATGAGCTGGTATGTATGGTGTGCCTACTGTGTGCCAGACACTGTTCTAGGTACTAGGAGGTACATTGGTGACAAGCGTATAATCCCTGCCTTCTTAGCGCTTACCTTTTAATGGGCACAAAAAATAAAGAAGCCAGCAGTATGCCAGGTGGTGATATGTACTATGGAGACCATTACAGCAGGGCGAGACGAAGGAAGTGTGGGGAGGGCGAGCTTGCTGTGTTGTGTGGCAGGCATGTGGTCACGTGGGAGCCCGAGGAGGGAGGACGGAAGCGAGCCCTGTTGACCCCCAAGGAAAGAAGCTGCTTGCAAAGAGAGAGGTGGGTGCCACGCTCTGGATAGTGTCAAGGACAGGCGGGCGCACAGTTGGAGTGGGCCTGGCAGGGCCATCTGGAGCCTCTGGCTCTCATTGTGCATAGGGCAGACATTGCAGAGTTTTCCTTTTCATAAAAGTAGCAAGGTCTTGCCAGTCCCCTGTAGATGCTTGGAGGAATATTCTTGTACAGTTCACTAGTGTGGCCGTATTTGTGTAGAATAAATTTCCCAAAGTGGAACCACTTGGCCATCGGATACACACGTTTCTAAATTGTGAAGATGCAGCAACACTTCTCCGTGAGGGCACTATCTTATTCTTAGAAAGTCTCTTAAGTGTCAATTCACTAAGAAGACAAAGGACGTAGGGCACATTTTATACCTAACTATAAATAGACATTTAACAGAATTTCCTTAAAAAAAAAAAACCGCTTTACAAATTGTATGTTTGTTTTACAGTGAATTTTGTGGGGAAAATCTAAGCAAGCAGAAATTTACTCGAGCAGTGAAGAAATTGAATGCAAATATTCTTTACCTTTGTTTTTCTCAGGTATGAAAACTGTGTTGTGAACTGATTTTTAATTGTTACATAGTTGAAAATATTAATCAATTCTTTGCTTTTTCTAGCATGTAAATTTAGATCAGTTACAACCACTGCATACCCTCAGGAATCTAATGTACCTGGTCAGTCCAAACTCCGAACACCTGGGCAGGTAAGAAGGGTCTTTATTGCTTTTCTCTAAGTGTTGTTTTGTGACTACTTGGAGGTAGAGTTGTGTGTTTTGGCGGTGTATAGTGCCTGTTTCCAAACCCCAAACTCCAAAAAGGACACAGTGCAGCCTCACACAGAAGGGAACAGTGGCTAACCACATTTGAACCTTTACATGTTTTTGTAATAATCCTCAAAGAAAATTAATATCAAACATTTTTAACACCTCCAGTGCAGTAGAAGAACCCACATGTTCCTGAAGCAGGGCCTTTTGCGCCCTCCCTGAAGACTCCCCATTTCTTTAGCCCCACTTGGTGTCTTCCTTGTTTCTTATACATCTCCTTTTGCTCCTGCTCCCTCCTTGCTTGTTGTCAAAATTCTTTACAGTCTTTTTTTCTCACTGAGTCAATCTGGGTCACCATTTGTTAGAGATTTATGGGATGAACTTGTTTGAAATCCACTGGCTTACAAACAAGTCAGTAACAGAAAGGACCAACCAGGACTGATCTGTAGGGTCTTTCAGATCTCTCAACCCATGAAAGCGTGAATGTCGAGGCCCCCTGCTCTGGTATGTTCCCTTTTTCCTTGCTTTTAGCAGTCTGTCCAAACATTTCTGTATTTCCACATGGCTACTTTACTCAGAGAAAGGGACCTCAAGGAAAAGTACATGACGGGAAGGTTCTTTGGGATTCTCTTCCATCCTCTCTGTACCCATGGACCCTGGGCCAGCCACTTTACGTGCCTCGAGTTATTCCTGTAATACAGAGGGAGATGCCAAAGCTTAGTGTGTGGCCAGGTAGCTCATAGCAACGATCACAGAGCCATAGTCCCAAAACAGGTCCAGCTGACTCCAGAGTAGTAAATGCTCATGCTCTTCACTAGTGGATACTACCTCATCATATTAGCAGATTAAAGAAGAAGAAACATGAGATCAACGTGACAGATGACAGAGAGAACTAAATAAAATGCAGCTCCCATTAATTAAAATAAACGACTGGCAAGTTAAGACATAATTAGTAGAGGATATCTATCCTAAGCCTTTAAGAAAAGTTAAACTTAATGCCATGTTACTTACATAGATATTTACGTAATCTATAACCTATCTAAAGATTACAGAACTTAGTTTATATTCCTCGGGTACTTTTGAAGGCCTGCTAAGCACTACTCTAGTTGGGAGAGTGAATGAGAAAAGCCCTGAGGTAGTGAAGACCCAAAAGCGAAGCCACTCCTATTTCCTGGAGCTTGACAGCTGATGTGAAGGTTCAGCTGGAAGCATAGTCTCCAGTGGGGAATGGGCTTGGCCCCTTTCAAGATAGCGTGAAGGTCGTTCAAACAGGGCATGGGCAGCATGTAGACAGGAGGAGCCTAGAGGAAGAGGCTCGCCCTGGGGAGGTGACCTGTGGCCGGGGCCATCAGGCTGCCTCAGTTGATGGCTCCCAAGTGCTTGGCTTGGTGGGCATTTATGTGGGGAGGAAGTTGGATCCAGACCACATTCCATATGCACAAATAAGTTCCAGGTGATACTGAAGCCCTTATTTTTTAAAAAAGACAACTATAAAGTAACTAAGAGAAAGGTCCGCATTGTATAATGAGAGAGCAGGGAGGGAATTCCCAGGCAAGCCACAAAACCCACAAACACTGAGGGAAGGAGTCACACATTTGACTGTAAAAATTCTCAAGGTTTCTGGCAAAAGACACTATAAGCAAAGTTAAAAGACAAACAACAGGTAGGTTTGACAACCTCTATGGCAGACCGCAGAGTAAATCTAGGCTACTTAAAGAAATCTTTCAGTACAATAAAGGAAAGACCAACAGCCTGTTAGAAAAATAGACAAACCCTGAATTAAACCCCACATCTTTAAAATAAAAAAATTAAAAGTAAAAAAATAAGTAAATAAAAGAAAAGAAAAAGAAAAATAGATAAAGATACAGACAGGCATTTCTCAGAGTTGTAAGTAATCAGTATTCAAATTTTTTAAAACCTCCATCCTTAATCAGGAATAAAGACATGCAGCCAGGCACGGTGACGTGTGCCTGTAGTCCCAGCTACTGAGGAGGCTGAGGCAGGAGAATCACTTCAGCCCAGGAGTTCAAGGCTGTAGTATGCAGTGATTGTGCCTGTGAATAGCCACCAAACTCCACACTGGGCAACATAGTGAGACCCTGTCTCTACAGATTTTTTTTTAAAAATTAGCTAACCATGGTGGTGTGCATCTGTAGTCCCAGCTACTCAGAAACCAGGGTGGGAGGATCGCCTGAGTCCAGAGTTTGAGGCTACAGTGCACTACAGTCATGCCACTGCACTCTAGCTTGGGCAACAGAGTTAGACCTTCTCTCTCAAAATAATGATAATTTTTAAAAAGAAAAAAGAAACACGATTTAAAACAAGTTTCTGTTTTCACCATCATTTTGACAAATGGAGAGAACTGGTGACTGCCAGCACTGGTGGCTGTTTAGGGCAAAGGCACCTCTCACACTGGAGGCAAATGTCTTTGGAGGGCAATTTGAAGGGTCTGAAGGTTTCTGTGGGCTCATTCTCGAGTCCAGTGTTCCTGCATTGCAGAAGTGCATACACAACCAGGCCAGTGGTCACATCTAAGTTTATGGCCAGAGTTTGGGACATAGAGCTTCCAAAGTCCTTTAATCCACACCTACCTCAATCAGGACCAAAGCTTAGAGAAGGCAGTTCATGGGAGCCTGGGTAGGACTTCCTGTTTCCATTCAGATCAGCAGCACTGAGGACTCCATCCTGAGTCCAGGATACACTTTTTTTTTTAGTTGGAGTCTCACTCTGTGGCCCAGGCTGGAGGGCAGTGGCAGGCTCCCGGCCACCGCAGCCTCGACCTGCTGGGCTCAAGTGATCCTTCCACCTCAGCCTTCCAAGTAGCCGGAACTACAGGCAGGCGCTACCATGCCTGGCTTATTTTTTTGATCTGTTGTAGAGATGAGGTCTCACCAAGTTGCCCAGGTGTGTCTCGAACCTGCGGGCTCAGGCAATCCACTCGCCTTGGCCTCCCAAAGTGCTGGGATGACAGGCTGAGCCACTGAGCCTGGCCAGGATACACTTAACAAAAAAAGTAAGCGTATGAAAAATTTCAAAAAAGAAAAATTTACAAATACTCACATGCCTTTTCTCACATTCACCTATTAGCTACTATTACTATTTTGCCCTGGTGTCATTTTTACATTCTGTAAGTGCCCTTAAATGCACAAACACACATTTGAAATAAAGATGGAAGCCAGGTACAGTGACTCACACTTCATCCCAGCACTTTGGGAGACAAAGGCAAGACAACTGCCTGATCCCAGGAGTTGGAGACCAGCCTGGGCAACTTGGCAAGACCTTGTCTCTACAACAAAAATCAAAAAGTAGCCAGACGTGGTGGCATGCCCCTGTGGTTCCAGCTACTTGGAAGGCTGAGGCCTGAGCCCAGTGGGTCAAGGCTGCATTAGCCATGAACGTGCCACTTCACTACAGCCTGGACCACAGAGTGAGACTCTGACTTTAAAAAAAGAAAGAAAGAAAGAAATAAGATGCGTTATAGAAGTGACTTTTATGAAGCCAGGAAAATCATCCTGTTGCCTTAATTGATACACTGACTCCCTGCAATGTCATGCATGAGTGTTATGGCTTCAGGGTCTTGAATAAAAAGATAATCCATTTTTCAGCTAAATGAAAAATTAGAGAAACAATTTTATGATCTTCATTCCTTGAAGACATTAAAGTGAAGATGAGTTGATTCCTTCGCCAGCTGTTGCTGTGTGCTGTCTCCGGCTCGGGCATGTGAGGCAGGTGGTTTATCTCCAGTGAAGAAGCGACAGGAGTGACAGGAGCCAGGCGTTGAGGGGAGAAACATCCCAGGGGCTTCTACAGGGGTCTCCCTTCCTGCTCTGTGACTTCTCAGAAGTGTGGGTTGCTCACAGGAACCCGAGTTGTGTCACACTAGTTGCTCTAGGAATCATCTGTCTGTTCATTTTTCATGGTTAGTACTTAACTGAGCACTTTGGGATTCTAAGCAGAGAACCAGTTCAGCTGGAAGCCCTCTGCCTGGAGGAAGTGTCAGTTCCTCCCTGTGTCTCTCTTGCCTGTCTCTCTCTTGTCTCAGGATCTAGAAGGATCCCGAGAGTAGATAAGGCAGCATCAGAGGGGAAGAGAGGCCAGGGCAGGAGGATTGCTTGAGCCCAGGAGTTGGAGACCAGCCTGGGCAGCACAGCAAGACCTCGTCAATATAAAATAAAATTTAAAACTAAGCTGGACGTGGCAATATGCACCTGTAGTCTCAGCTACTTAAGAGACTGAGGTGGGAGGATCGCCTGAGCCCAGGAGGTCGAGGCCACAGTGAGCTGTGATGGTGCTTCTGTGAGACCCTGACTCAAGAAAAAGTAAAAGCATGGGAAAACAGGCTGAGCTTCCAGAGCTAGGAGGAAGTAGCTCGGGCAGAAAGTGGGAGGGAGGCTGGTGAGATGTAGGAGTGGAGAATGACTGTAGCCGGCCGTCGTCGTGAGGCATCTTGGACCACGCAACTGGACAGCAGTCACCACCGCACAGGAGGTTGAGTCAGGAGCCCAGCGGTGCTTTGACAGCGAACATACTAGTAGGCAGCCCCCCTGGGGAGAAGGGCAGCTGTGCAGGACGGGAGGTATGGGAGGAGCTGTGGTGTCAGGAGAGCCTGAGCAGGGGCCCACTGTCAGGGCGCTCATCTCGTGACACCAGGTCCTTCCGCGGACCCCAGACCTGGAGCAAGAGGGAGGAGGGCTGGAGTCCCAGCTGGCTGGCGTTTGGAGACCGATTGGCTCATGCCTGAGACCCATTTGTGTGGCAGAGAGAGTTTCAAGGGGAGGTAGGAATATTTGAAGGGAGGAAAGTCCCCACCCTGCCCCCCCACTCCCTTCAGTCCTTGCAGAATAGTGACCTCCAGGCAGGGCGGGGCCTGGTAAACATGGGAGCCCCTGGTCTGAGGGGCTCTTTGGAAATGGGTTACACTGCTCCCTGGAGAACAAGGGGGAACCCTGTGGTCCATCTTCAGTTTGATTAGTGCTTATCAAGCCCTCAGGACAGCCTGGAAGGGCAGTGTTAGCATCATTGCTCCCTCCAGCTGGGAAGCTAGCTGCCCCCAGATGCCCCCTCGCCTGTCTGGGGGGAGCAAGAGCCACCTGCTGAAGGGAAAGGTGAGCTTGAGGTGCAGACTGTCTGGGCACAGCGAGCTGTGCCCGTCTGGGAGACTCCACGTTTCTCTTCTTTTCGTTGACCTGTTGTTTTCACCAAAGTCGTTATCAGTGAAACCCTTGCGTGAGCCGAGGCCCCGTGTGCTTATCCTGGGAACAACAGCAGGGAGATGGGGCATCTCAGCCCACTTGAGAGCCGGAGGCAGGCCAGTTCCCTGGAGGGCAGTGGACTGGGCTGCCGCCCTCACCCCCCAAGGAACTGCAGCCTGGCCCCCCTGAAGCAGAGCTGAGGAGTGTTTGAAAGTGGGGCAGGACAGGGGAGGAGCAGGATGGCCTCTGAGGTTGGCTGCCCCGTTCCCCAGGGTGGCGCTGAAGGACTTGGCCGCCCTTGGCCGAGGGTGTCATTAGGGACCTTTGGGCAATAGGGAGTCTCCTCCTGGACTGCAGTGCAGAAATACACAGCAATTCAGAGAAATAGATTCTAGTCATGTCCCACTCACTGTGTGCAGCCAGTGAGCCCCTAGATGTGATATTTTTAACACGCATAGGAGCCTGCTGTTGATGGCAGTCCAGGGAAGCTTTGCGCAAAGGTAAATGCTTGTAACCACATCATTGGTCTTTTTTTTTTTTTTGAGTTGGAGTCTCACTCCATCGCCCAGACTGGAGTACAGTGGCCACTCCACTGCAGCCTCGACCCGCTGGGCTCTGGCGATCCTTCCGCCTCAGCCTTCCAAATAGCTGGAACTACAGGCACGCGCTACTGCACCCAGCTAATTTTTGATTTATTATGGAGATGAGATCTCACCAAGTTGCCCAGGCGGGTCTCAAACCTGCAGGTTCAGATAATCCACTCACCTCGGCCTCCCAAAGCACTGCAATTATAGGCTGAGCCACCGAACCCGGCCCCATTGTTCTTTTTTGAGGCTTAAGAGTTTAGCAGAGCACGGTGGCTCATGCCTGTCGTCCCAGCACTTTGAGAGGCCAAAGTGAGAGGATTGCCTGAGACCAGGGATTCAAGACCAACCTGGGCAACTTGGCAAGACCTTGTCTTTACAATAAATCAAAAAAGTAGCCAGACATGGTGACATGTACCTGTAGTACCAGATACTTGGAAGGGTGAGCCAGAAGGATCACCTGAACCCAGCAGGTCAAGGCTGTGGTGACTGGAGCATGTCCCTGCACTCTAGCCTGGGCAACAGAGTGTGATTCTGACTCAAAAATGAAAAAGTTTAATTCGGGGCTTCCATAAGGCAGGGGACATCTGTATAGTTTTCTTTGTATACTGTTTATTACTTGTTAACCTAAATACTATGCCAGAGTGTGTGTCATGTGACTGTTTTTGTCAGAATTGTCTCATTGGAAGGCTGTATATATGATTTATTCATTTTGAGTCAAGGTCTCACTCTGTTACCCAGTCTGGAGTGCAGTGGCACAATCATGGCTCACTGCAGCCTTAACCTCTTGGGCTCAGGTGATCCTTCCAGCTTAGCCTCCCAAGTAGCTGGGACTACTGGTATGCACCATCAGGCCCAGCTATTTTTTATTTTTATTTTTGTATTGATGAAGTCTTGCTATGTTTTCTAGGCTGGTCTTGAACTCCTGGGCTCCAGTGATCCTCCTGCCTTGGCTTTCCAAAGTGCTGAGATTACAGGCAGGAACCACCACCCTGGCTGAGGCTGTGTTTAAACCAGGAAATCCTACTTTGGCCCATATGGACCCTCTCAGTGACTGAGTTTTTTTCCTGCCCAGGCTTTTCACAAACTCTGGAGGTACACCTGAGGAGAAGTGTGGTGTCAAGATTCTCTCCACTACTTGTGTGGAGGTTATTCTCTGGATGAGAAAAACTCACTTAGAGATCAGCGGCGAGTGCAGGTCAGATGGAGGCCACACACTCGCTGCTGATGTAGGTCGGCCTCCCCGCATCCCATCAGATCAAGGGCCCCCGGGAATGTGGCACACAGCTGGGAATGGTGGTTGTCCTAAAGGTCTCCACTGTCTGCACACAGGTCGGGCCCCTTCGAAGTGCGAGCTGACCTTGAGGAGTCCATGGAGTTCGTGGACCCCGGAGTCGCTGGTGAGTCGGATGAGAGTGGGGACGAGCGCGTCAGTGATGAGGAGACCGACCTGGGCACAGACTGGGAGAACCTGCCGAGCCCTCGCTTCTGCGACATCCCCTCACAGCCTGTGGATGGCTCCCAGAGTCAGAGCGCCCAGGCATCCCCGCCCATCGCCAGTAGCAGCGCCGGTGGCATGATCTCATCCGCAGCCGCCTCGGTGACCTCCTGGTTCAAGGCTTACACTGGACACCGCTAACGGGCATGGACCAAACCTGCCAGGTTCAAGGAAGTTCTCCCACTACACTCTTTCAACCGCATCTGCTTAGTTAAGATAGTGCCTGGGACAAAGCGGTGAAATCATTGCTTTTGGTTTTTTAAGCAGGGAGGCAGACCCTTGTACTTGCCCAGTGGCCTGTGGTGTGACCCACATGCTTACGGTAATTAGTGGAACAGAGGGGTCAGATGTCCTTCTGCCCAAACTGGTATTGCTGGAAGGACTTGACGTGTGGCCAGTCCTGTGAGGCAAGTCCACTGGGCTACCCCTGGTCCCGGGCCAGGGGCCGCAGACACAGGTCAGCATGCTGGTCCATGCAACACCCGGCTTCTCTTGACATGTTTCAGCCTCAAGGTCGAGTGAGCCACAAGAGGTGATTCCTGGGAAGAGGACGTGAGAGAAGTGCTTTCATATGAGTGTTTTCTGCCATCACTTTTTTTGTGCAGAGAACCAGGGTTGCTTTTTCACTGGATGGGCCATCTTTGGTCTTGAGGTTGAGGACTTGGGAATGGTTGGGGAGGGGTGACTGAAGGTGTATTCCATCCATGCTGCTCTGTTGAGTCTGTCAGACGTTGCTGTTTCTTTCCCCACACGCCAAAGAAAACCGAGGTCTTTTTTCTTTAGGACCCACGTCTGTAAACGGAAGAAATTCTAGCCACAGGAGTGTCTATGTTCTTGTATTCCAGGGGAAATGAAGCTCATTCTTACCTAGTGACTGAATTCCGACCTTCCACGCTCTGTGCATCTTTGAGTTGAACTTACTTTCTGAGCAAAAATAAGTCATCAGTGCCATTCCCTTGTGTAAGCTGCTTGCCCAGACACAGGTGAAAAGCCACTTAGTGACGCGGCCTTGGTCTTTCCGGCTGTGCCCAGTTTCTTTCTAAGGGATTTAGTCAGCAGGTGTTTCCAGGGAAAGCCATCTTGCTTGCTTGTTTCCTGGAGGTCTTTGTTGCTCGAAGGACACGATCCTTGCAGCTGGGACGACTCTTTTCTTGCTCGGGGACGCTCAGGTGGAAAGAGGTTTTCCTCACCCAGAGGTCGATTTTAGCTCATGCGTCTTGTCTTTCTTTTAGGGACAGACTTACAAGAAAACTATAATGAGAGAGGCATTATGTACAAATATGCAGGTGGTTTTTTTGGTTTTTTGTTTTTTTAATAACTGCCAAAAAAATCCTATGTAACAACTACAAAAAGGAATCCTCTGAAAAATGCCCAGCAGGCACTGTTCCCATGCCCTCTTAATGCGAGTCACATGGTAGTGCCTCAGAATGTCCCAAGGTGTGCCACACTGGCATCTTTTCTTGTTGTGATTATAGTTGGTGTGTTGCCTCCACTTCCGAGGTGCTATGGCCTTTGCAGCCAGGATACTTGGTGTTTGGTATCATTTGGGGTAGAGTCATAGAAGAAGGGAGTTTTTTCCTCTCTAGGAGTCCCAAACCCCCTGGCTCTGGGTTTTCCACTTAGGAAGTGGGCTGTTCTCCTGTGGGCTCCTGTTTGAAGGGCTCGGTTTCATGAAGCTAGGCCTGCATTGCACCACCCAGTTGTGGAGTTCAGAGAGTGGATACGGTAAACTTGAACAGACACCAGGTAAACGTAAGGTCTCATGAGATGAGAGGTGTCTGTTTCAGACCCGCAGAAGGAAGCACTGAGTCCCAGGAGTCGGGAAGCAGAGGCAGGGCTTGGACTAGTGACGGGCTTCACCTGAAATACACCGTAGTCATGGTCTACCAGGCGAGCCCTTGGGACGCCATGGATGAGAGGAAGCCAAGGAGTGGAAGACAGCAGTCACAGCTCCTGTTGTGAGGAACCCAACAAAACTCAAAAGGGTATGGGAAGCTTCGGGACCAGCAGGCTGCATGTTGTTCACATCACTTAAAGGCACTTTACGTGGGGTTAAGTGATCAACCCTTCTGTGGTTTCGAACACCAACATACTGGCTTACACTGCTGAAATATTTGTGGTTTCATTATTTTGCACTGGATCCACCCTGTAAATATCCTTTAAGATACATTTCAACCACTGTGTTTTCTACTCTCTTTGCTGCTCATTAAAATCTTTCATGTAGGTACCAGGAGCATATGTAAACAGCTTTCTTAAAAAATTAAAGCTGGTATTTTTTTTTTCCTCAAAACAAAAAGCCATAGAACTTGGTCACGTTTTCCGTTTTAAAATGTTTTCTTGAAACAAGGTAATACTCTTAAAAACCTGCCAGCTCCAAATAGGCTGCTTAAAATGGTCTGCTGCTCAAGACATTGTAGTGGAGTATAGCTAAGACAAGTTCTGCACATCGTAAGTGAAGGGGACAGACGGCATGTCACCGTGAGCACGGTGGACAGGATTCATCGCTGGCCTTGTGTGGGACATGGGAGGAGTGCTCGGATGTGCTATTCCAGGTGCCGCTGCTGATCTGTTCCAGAAATGGCCACATCAGAGAGCCTCCCCTCAGCGTCCAGTTGCAGGGATCCCCCTTGGCCCTGCACTTTCCGAACCAGTTCGAGTCATACAAATATTTTCTAAACTTTTATTGTATTACTGCAATAAACCTTTTAACAGGACTTTGCTCATATAGATGTCTTTTTCAAACCAATTATTTGTCTCTACTGCTACATTGAGGGTTGCAAGAAAGAGATCTAGCCCTGAAGTACTATATGCAGATTAGAGAATCGTTTTTTAGAATTTTTTTTGCCAGGTAAGAAAAAAATTCTAATACATTTTTTAAATTACAAATCATAGTGGTATTCATAATAAGGTCTGTCTTCCACACGCTGGGAAACTCGTGGCTTGCTTTCCCTAAAGGTGCGTTTTTCTTTGCTGGCCTTCATGTGACACGTGTGACCTACTGTGACTTGCTCTCTTGCCACAACTCCTGAGGAAGGAGTGGGCCGCTAGGGTGCCCATGTGGAATCTGCCCAGACTTTCTTCAGGACAGCAGAGAGGAGGGAATGTTCGCGGGGACCCTCTGAGCTCAGAGGACAGAGTAGCTCTGGAGAGTTCCTACCCCCACACCCACACTGTCCTCCCCTCCTTTTTTGGATTGCACATCTCTCCCAGGTGGGTAGGCCTTGCCTTCAGGTTGGATCAGGGTAGAGAGGGCCACCTGCGGGGAGAGGGGGAACCAGGCCAGCTAGGAGAAATCCTGAGAAGTCATCGCCATGGTCACAAGATCCCTGCTCCTGGAGCAGAGGCGAGCCAGTGAAAACCAGAGGAAAGGAAGGTGCTTCCGTGCTGCCGTCTTCCGTCTTCCTGGGTAACTGCAGGAAGCGGGCCCTGTGTAGTATGTAAAGGGAGATTCCCAGCCAAGCTACAGCCAGGTCATCGCAAGAATCGAACCGAAGCATGTGAGGAGGGCTAAGATAACCTTGGCGTCAAGGGCGTGTGTTCAAAGGTTGTGCCAACAAAATCCACCCAGAAACATGAAACAGCTCTTGACCAAATTGTCTGCCCCTCAGCTACAAAACTCAGTGAGGAAAGCCACCAGCAAGCACCCCGTTCCAGTGAGAAAATGTAAGAAGGGGACCCCCAAATAGAATTTAGTAAAAATTGTGTATTCTCACGTGTTTAAACTTCAGTCCCTTCCAAGTCCTCTCCGTTGGATGCAATACACCCATCGAGATGACTTTTCCACTGCCCAGAACAGTTTTTGACTTCATCCATTGCGATGCCTTTTAGTGCTTCTGCCATTTTTGTCTTGCCTCTTCCACATCAGCAAAAAATTTCCCCTTGAGGACTTGTATCATCTGGTGAAACATAAAGTCATGCAGGGCGAGATCAGGTGAATAGGGAGAGGGGCATGGTGGGGGTCACACCACTGGGGACCAAAAACTGCTGAAACACTCAGCACGGTGTGGGCAGGTGCACTCGGAATTCCCCCAGCATGAAACGCTGAAAATCTCCCAAAAAATCCACTAAAGCTGAACGCCACGGCTCACAGCAACCCTAGCTGGTGCACGAATGCTGACAGGTTCCCGGAACATGCACCTAGCAAGGAAGCCTGGACCACACAGGCCCACCCTCCAGAAGAGAATTCTGGGGTTTTTTAGGTCCCCCTCGTGTACTAGAAAAAAGGTTCACACACTGTTTACAAAGTCAGATTGATAGAGTGGAATTTTTTTTTAAACCAGAAACCGCCAGTTGCACAACTGTCTCTTGAGGGAAGAGGATGGTAGGTAAGAGGAGCGAGACTGCCAGTGCCTTTTCCGTGTGCCTCTCATGGGAGGGAGTGGGGAATCCCTGGAGCTGGGGAGGAGGGGTGTGAGGGGCCTTGGAAGTGTCCCTTTAGAAAGAGAAATGTTCAAGTTCTGCCTATGAATGAGAACACAGGAGCCTGGATTCTTTGTTTCTGTGATGGATCACTCGGTATTATAGCCTCTTTAGTTCATCCAAGTTGCTGCAAAGTTCATACTTTTGTCCTTCTTTATGGCTGCGTAATATTCCATCATGTATACGTACCATATTTTTTTAGGCAGTCCTCTTTCGATGAGCAGCCTGGTTGGTTCCATGTTTTTGCTATTGTAAATAATGCTGCAGTAAACTATGCATGTGCGGGTATCTTTTTCATAGAGTGACTGGAGTTCCTCCAGGTATATTCCCAGTAGGGGGATTGCAGGGTCATATGGGAGGTCGATTTTTAGATCTTTTAGGAATTGCCACACTGTTTTCCACAGAGGCTGCACTAGTTTACTCCCACCAACAGTGTAGAAGTGTTCCCTTTTCACCACATCCTCTCCACCAGCATCTGTTGTTTTTTGAGTTATTGATGGCCATCCTGACTGGAGTTAGGTGGTATCTCAGTGTGGGGTTTGTTTTTTTTTTGAGTTGGAGTCTCACTCTGTCGCCCAGACTGAAGTGCAGTGGCCGCTCCCGGCCACCACAGCCTCGACCTTCAGGGCTCCGGCGATCCTTCCGCCTCAGCCTTCCAAGGAGCTGGAACTACAGGCGCTCACTACCACGCCCAGCTAATTTTTTGATTTATTGTAGAGATG